CCCCCCGCATCAATCCGTAGGGGTGACCCGAGCATCCCCGCGCTGTTTCATCGCTGTGCTCCCTCCCTCGCAGGGAAGATGCCGAGGCACCCAAGGCGCACCTGGTCAAACCCAGCTCCTCCTCCTCCGGCTCCCGCAGCTCCCGCTCGGGCTCTTCCTCCACCAGATCCACCGCCAACAGTGCCTCCCGCAGCCAGCGGACTTTGTCCACCGAGGCCACCCCGCACCTGACCCCTCCGCAGTGCGGCCAGCGGCCGGCGGAGAGGAGGGAGCCGGAGCTGCGGAGGGGGGACTGCGGCCAGGTGAAGGTGGCAGCGATGGTGGCAGCGCAGAGCCGAGCCTTCCAAACCGTGTGAGCCGGCCCGGTGCATCCTCCAGCCCGGAGCTCCGCAGCATCCCCCGGCCCGCAGCATCCCCCCGGCTCGGAGCATACCCCGGAGCATTCCCGACCAGGAGCATCCCCCGCCCGGAGCTCCGCAGCATCCCCCGGAGCATCCCCTGCCCGCAGCATCCCCCGGCTCAGAGCATCCCCTGCCCGCAGCATCCCCTGGAGCATCCCCTGCCCGCAGCATCCCCCGGCCCGGAGCATCCCCCGGAGCATCCCCCGGCCCGCAGCATCCCCCGACCCGCAGCATCCTCCGGCCTGGAGCATCCCCCGGCCTGGAGCATCCCCTGCCCGCAGCATCCCCCGGCCCGGAGCATCCCCCGCAGCATCCCCCGGCCAGGAGCATCCCCCGGCCTGGAGCATCCCCCGCAGCATCCCTCCGGCTCGGAGCATCCCCGGCTCGCAGCGCCACCTCTCACAGCCCCGGCCACTTCGCATCGCTCGGGCAGCTCGCCCTCTTCATCGTCACCTTCATCCTCCTCACTCGGGATTCTCCACACCACCAGAAGCCCTCCCACTCGATTCTTTCTGAGCGTCACCGAGGTGCTGATACACACTTGAGAACGATTTATTGGAACGAAAAGGGAGCTTCTTTTTAAATCATCTTTTTTTCTTTTTTTGTTTGTTTTTTTTTCCTTTGAAAATGAAACGCTGAGATTTAAAACCTACGACAGCAAAGCTGTGCTGTCGAGTGAAACTGTGAGTGAAAAGAAGCCAAACCTCAGGATTATTTTTTTAAAAGGGATCAACAAAGACTTAAAGATGCATAATATTCCAGAGAGGTTTTGTGGGCAGGGAAACATCTCTTGGACTGGTTTTGGAGACGTTTCTCGAAGATGTGTTGTCTTAAGTGAAAATTTTGAGGCTGAGGCTGTCCAGCCTCAAAGGGAACTGACAGGTGCTTCACATTTTCTGCATTCGGTGACATACCGGAGGCTGTAACTAAAGTGGAACTTAAAGGATCACTCCCAAAGGCCAAGAAATGCACTTTTAAGGTGTCTGAACTAAAGAGAAAGAACCTTTTCCGTCAAGGAAACAGAGGTGCTTTAATTGCTGAATAAACTTGGGGCCGGGAGGCTGGCTCTGCTTCCACGGGCAGCCCTGCAGAGCCACAGGGGCCACTGGAGGGGTGCCCGTGGCTACTGAGCCTTAGGAGGGGAGAACTGGGCACTGAACCCAGTGGGGAGGACCCCCAAGTGCCAAAAAGCCTGGATGGAACATTGGGAAGAGCTCTCAGGCATTGGCCAGGTCTGGGGGAGCTGTGCTGGAGAAGCTTTGTGGAAAGTCCTTCCCCAGACTGAGTGAGCAGCACTGCCCAGCTGAGCCCCAGGGAAGGCCTGAAGGTTCCTGCCAGAGGAAATCACACCTGGCACAGGTAAACAAGCACAAAAGCTGCTCCCCTCAGGACATTTTGCGTGCGTTGTCCCACTCCTACACCAAATGCTGCCGGGGCTGAGGCTTAAACCTTTAGCAAGACTCTTAAAAAAATGGCAAGAATTGTAAAAAAGATTTTTTGTGAGCAACCAGGTTAAGCGTTTCCACAAAATATGAAGTTAGGAGAGGAGGGGAGGTAGGGACAGATGCAGAATTCTGTCATTGATGTTTTCCTCTGAAGGACTTGGCTCTGACCACTGCTACACACAAGACACTGAGCTTGTAGGTTCTAGATTCCTGTATTCCTAGATTGGTGTTTTTCTGTTTCAAAAATTAGGGTGTTTGAGGTTTTTTTCCCCACTGGAGGGAGGGAAAGGGATTCTCCAATTTGTGGAAAGAGCCTAAAGAAGATGGATGAGCACAGATGTACCACAGATCTATAATTCTTTCACGCCAGGATTGTCATTAATCTCCTTTTCTGACTGAGACCCAGAATTCTAAATTCTTTATTTGAGATTTTTGACGACCTGATCAAAACCAAGCCCAGTTTGGGCTACTTCCATTTGGGGAAGAGTTTTCAAACTTGCCCTACACTATGTGAGAACTTCTCTTCCTAGGAGCAGTCACTCAAAATCCCATTGCTCTCTCTACCCCAGATTTAACCCTTGGCAGGACAAATTACTGATGCTGTGCAGGGAAAACACTCCCAGTTTTAATAAGGGAGACCTGGTACGAGGTGTTTGATAAGCTGCTCCTCCCGTGCCAGCTGCTGGTGGTGGATATTCTATCATTCCAGCCTGGATGCTCCAGCAGCACATCCCTGGACCAGCAGGGTGGGAAAAATTAGTCTGAAAAATCACACTGCAGCTCTGTGTGTGTGGGATTCCCCTGCAGTTGTTTTTTTTCCTGAGCTCTGAAGGTTCAGGTGCTGGGAAAATCCCAAAAGCGGGGACAGGAGGGTGGAAGCAGCTTGTGGGTGCTCACTGTGCTGACCACTCCCTGTGCTGAGCCTGCACAGGGAGCCAGGAGCTTTTCCTCACCACAAACCCAGCGTGTGACACTTCCACCAGCTGAGCTGGCCAAAGGCTCTGGGGCAGCTTGGAGTCCCAGCCCAGGCTGGTAATTAGCAGAGAGGAGGCTCTGCAGCCTGGAGGGAGGAGAATTGGCCCTGGCAGGAATCCTGGAGCCTTTGGGCAGCCTCTCCTGCTGTGAAACCACCGCTGGTGCTGTGAGCTCTGGGGATGGTCAGGCAGAGGGGCAGTGGCTGAGCCTGCTCTGGGGGATCCATCCTGGCTGCTCCAAGCCCTGGAGACAGAATGGAAACAGAATTTTTGGGATGCAGGCGCTGTCCAGGTATCTGCTTCAGCCCACACCTCAGTGACTCACAGGGAAGGGAAAAGTTCATCACCAAAGGGAGCAGGAGAAAGGGATCATTCCAAAGGTATTCTATTTTCCAAGCTCCAGCCCGTCAGGAGTTGCACAAGGGAAGCAAATAAGCCAAACCCTGTTTGTAAAATAGTGTATTAAAGCATTTACTGTCATATACCAGCTATTAATTGTGTGATTAAATGCCGACCATGTTATGTAGCTTTTTGTTTCTCAGCAGCTAAACTAAGCTTCCATCTCTGCTACCTGCTATGATTGGTGTACTTGTACTGTGTCTGAACAACTCAGAGGAAAGCAAATATTTATTATTGATTCCTTTGAATCAATGCTTTAATAAATTTTTTTTTTGGTTGGTTGTTTTATAAATAAAGGTGCTGCAGCTGAGGAGCTGCAGCTCAACTCAACTAGTACCATTTTCTGTGGTGTGATGGGTTTCGTGCTGTCAAGCTGAATCCAAGGGGGAAGAAAAAAAGGATGGAGTTAAAAATACCATTTTTAAGCTAAGCAGGCGACTGTGCATATTTGCATGGGAAGCGTGGGGAAGCTGGGCTTTTTTCCCTGGGTACTTTTGAGACTAACTTAGGTGACATTTCACAAAATATGTGAAACCCTGCGTGATGCATGGAAGTCAATGTGGTTTTATCCGGGGATAGACCCCAGATGTTAGGATATATCTGGGGTATGACCTGGGATATTTTGGCTGAGGATGCAGGTGCTGCTGGAAGCCAGCCTGGTAAATAAATAATGCCAGCACAACAAGCCGTGGTGAATTCATCCTCGCCCTGCTGTGACCTTCCTGCTGAAGCTGCCCATGTGCTTGGCTCTCCTCATGAGGAAACCTTGAGCTGCGTTCAGCCCGTTCAGATCTCTGCAGATCAACCTTTGGAGGCAGCTCACAGGGATCCAGCAGCTGGGGCTGGGATTTAGGGGAGCTAAAAGTGCTGGGCTTGGTTTCTCTCAGCATCTTCCCCCCCCACCCCCAGGGTGTTTTGCAGAGGTGTCCAGACATCAGTAATTCTCCTTGCTGAAATTTGGAACAAAAATTGCAACATAACCAGGCAGCGTTTAAAACAAAACAGGGTGACAACACGGTGGGCTCACAGGTGTGTCCTGTCCCTAATTCAAGAGCAAACTGTTCCCGTCCCATTGGAGTTGATGACATTAAAAACCCTGATTAGGTGACACACGTTTCCAGAGGAGTTGTGCACTTGCAGACTTTTGTACAGGATCAGGAATTTGGGGTTATTTTTAACCGGGAGCAGTTTGTCCTGACACGCTGAGAGGGGGAGAACCCCGTGGGAAAGGGAAGGGAGGGCCTTGGAAAAGGGTGATTTTCAAATGCAAGTGTTATATAAATATAAGTGCTGCTGTGGTGAGCAGGAGGAATGCCTTTGATAATCTCCCTTCTCCTCCCAGTTCTGTTTTGAACACTGAAAGGAGAAGCAGTGCTAGATCCTTGAAACACTAAATTCACTCCCAAAAATAACGCTTCAATCCATAATTAAAAAAAAAAAAAAAAAACAACTCCACGCTAAATACTTAAAGGAAATACTTCAGCCTGCCAGGTTTTGATTGATGTGATATCAAGTCAATGAGCTCCTTTTGTCCAGTTTAACAGCCCCTAATTTCTGGTGGGATGAGTCATTTGCAAACTGCCCTCCTCCCCGCCCTGACTCACCGCACTCCCAGGCACTTCCCCTTGCACGTCTAAATGTCACCGTGGCAGCCCAAGCTGCTATTCTTAGCTCCTGCCGAAATCCTGCCCCTGCTTTTAAAAAAAGCAACCCCAAAAAACCACCGCCAAGGGCGAACGGCCAGGGCGCCGTGGTGGGCTCGGTGTGAGTTACGCTGAGGAGCATCCCTGGAGTAACCTCGGAGCAGAACACCAGGGCAGGCTGGGCTCTGGGCAGGTGGAGTGTGCTTTGCACGTGTGTGTGCCACGCTTTGTGCCTTACCTCCAGAGACAGAGCCCCTTCTACACCCAAATTCCAGCTCCAGAGCCACCCCTTTGTTAGAAATGAAAATTTGTCCAGACACAAATTAATATGAAAAAATAAAATATTTCTTTTGCAATCAAATTCTATCCAGCCAGCCACAAGGAAAGAACAGAGCCGAGCCCGGGGTCGGCCCTGGGTGTGCAACAAGGAGTCAGCCTCAGCAGAGGTTTCCTCTGTGCCCACACACCTCCATCCTTGCACAAGTGGTTTTTATAGGGAAAATTCCACCTGAGGCCAAGATTTCAGCAATCAGTCTTTTCTTCTATTCAGAGTCCATAGGTTAATAAGATTTTGTTTTTTGGTGATGAGGAAGAACAATTCAGTGTCAGGAGTTGGTGAATCCCTTGATGAAGTTTACAGGAACGCTGCATTCCCATGGATCTGCCCGAGGATTTCCATGAGATCCATCCCGGGTCTTTCATGTGATGATCAGCGCCTGGGCATCCCTGTATCTCTCCAGCCATGGCTCATCCCCATCTCCTGGCCAGCCACATCCTTTTACCTGTAAATCAGGTTTCAACACACACCAGGTTTCGCCTGTGAAGGTGGGGGTACTCCTAATACAAACGTACATACTCCAACAAATATTCAATATCACATAGATCATATTAGAAATGGCACGGATTATATCTACCACACATAACGCCTTGGATGCCACCCCAAAATCCCCGCTGGGTTTTTCACCCTGAGCAAGAACAGGAGCCACAGACTGGCCGGACAGCAGTGACTCCTGTGTGCCCAGTGCCTCTGGTGTGGGACGGGTTTTGTGGGCTGGCATTTCGTCACGTCCCCTCGTCGTGGTCACCCCGGAGTGCCAGGACAAGCCACGGTGCCACCCTCGTCCCAGGATGTGGCTTGCACACGGGAATTATCACAGACACACGCAAGGAGCAGCCTGAGGGACCCGTTCCTGTGTCCCCAGATTGGATTTTTAAGTGACACCAAGAGCATTTTTGTCTGAAGTCAACCTGGGAGAAGCTGAAATGCTTTTTTGCGAAGTTTTTACCCATTAAAATGGAAAGTTCCTTGTTTGTTTTCCCCGTGTGTCCCAGAGCCCGGGCAGGACTCAGGGGTTGTGTTTGTGCTCCCAGTGCCTCCCTGGCCTTTATTCCCTGCAAACATTGGCTGCAGGCCACAGCCCTGAGCGTGACCTCAGCTGATTCCCGACCTCTGCCCAGCTCCCCTCATCCCTCAGGACACCAAAAACCCCGTTTTCCCCCCATTTCCCTCTCCAAATAAATAAATCCACGCTGGGAGCCGGATTACCCCCAAGGCACCCACGGGTGCTACCCTGTCCTCAGCCTGGACTGAGCCTGCTGCTGCTGGATGAGAACATTTAGGATGGATTATGTGGAAAAACGCCAATCACTTGGTTTTTTAAAATTTTAAAAGTTTAATAATAATAAAATGGTTAGAGCAATAAAGTTTAGAATTAGGACAGCTATAAGACAATAAAAAGTAAAGAATTATAGACATCCAGATGCTCTCGGACACTATGTTATGAGAAGGATACTTTATGGACAAAAGAATAACTTTAAAAGCAATAGCCTGCTGCATATTCATATATCCTTCATGGTTATGCATTCATCCTATTTAAAATAAGAAACTCTTGTCTGTTGTATGTTAACTGTTTCTTTTAATCTCTGTGGTGTCTTCGAGTCTGAGCAAGGCCTGAAGAAATTCGCTTCTGATAAGAAAACCATAAATTCCTTTTCTTTGGAAGATTTAGATGTTTTTTGAAGCGAGCATGTCATTCTAAAAAAAACCAAAAAAAAACCCAACAAACTCCTCCCACATACATAGTCTCTATTTTAACAATATGTTGGAACTTAAAACTATATTTAACGCACTACTTAAGGGAATTAATACAGCATAACTTTCTAACATTACTCATATAATAGTCATTGCAACATTTGCGAAAAGCCAGTCATAAAATAGGCATTTTTCACAGATTATAAAGCCTGGCGGGGCTGGGGCAGCTTTTACTCAGTGGAATTAGCAGCCCCAGTCCCCAAAGCGCAGCCCGCGGGGCGAAGCGGGAATGCGCTGCAGAGGGAACATGGAGGATGCGGAGTGTTGTACTCGGGGGCGCGCTGGGCACTAAGCACCGGGCAGGCGATGGCTGCGGGCAGGAGAACGGGGGCTGCCGGCAGCGCTGGGGGCAGGAGGGGACTCGGCGGGCACGGGGGGAGCCCCGGGGCCGCGCCAGGGCCGCCCCTCACGGGGCCGCCCCTCATGGCGCCGCCGCCATCTTGCGCTTCCCCTCCGCGCTCCTTCTCCACCGCCCTCTATGCAAATCACCCGCCATTCCCGCGCGCCCATTGGCCCCTCCCGCCCCATTGCGAAATATGCAAAGAAAGAGCTGGCGCGCCGCGCGCCCATTGGCTAAAAAGCCCGCCAGCTCCACCCGCCACGCCCCCCAGCCCGTGTCGTCACCGGCAGTGCGGGCTCTGATTGGGCAAAGCGCTCGCAAGCCGCGCCCACCGCGGGGTTTGGGGGGGGCGCGGGGAAAGCGCATGAAGGTTCGAGAACGCGGGCCCGGCCGGCGCGCAACGCCCCCTTCCGGCGCGCGTCACGCACGGCAGCGACCAATCACCGGTGAGCGGAGGGGCGGGATGCGCGCGCTGATTGGTCAGAGCCGTGCGGGGGAGGCGTGGCCTTCTGGAAGGTTCTGGGCGGGTATAAAAGCGCGGCGCGGCGGTCGCGGGGCATTGAGCGAGCCGGAGCTGAGCCGAGAGCCTGTCCAGCGTGGGAGCGAGCGACCGGGCCGGACTGCGGGTAACGGGGCGGGTCGGGACGCGGCTGCCTTGCGGGGGTGTGGGAGGCAGCTTTGGGGTGGCCTTGGGAAAGGCGGAGCGCCCTCCCGAGTGATTTTGTGCCCTTAGGGGACATTGTGCTGCGGGGATAGGGAGGGGATGGCGGGTACTGATCCATTTTGGGACGCTGCGTGCTGTTTTTTTTTCCCTGGTGTTAGCAGGCTTGTCTGCTAAATGTAATGTGCCGCGGGAGGGGGG